ACAACACATTTTTTAACCCTCTTAAGAACATACATGGAAATATGGGACAGGTCTAATTGCCCACAGAGTATAAATAATAACTGACTAAAAAAGTGTCTGTTAAAATGTCTTGGTAATGAATGAAGCAATCCCATGAAGAGACATCAGTGTTTACTTCCTCCTCTGAAGACGTCAAGCTATATCCAGGCCAAATAATTGAAACCCCATGTCTTTGAGCTATCTGTCTGATAAGGTAGGAGGTAAAGAAAATATTTCACTTGTGAGTTGTTTGCCTGATAATTCTTTAAAAAGCATAGCATTCTCGTGAGTGTGCCCGTCTGCTGAGTGACTTTCATTTATTTATTGCTGAGCAACTTTATAAAGTTCTGCTAAGTTTCCTTTCTAGGGTTTGAAGCATTAAAAAATGCCATTTGGAAATTGATTCAATTCTATCAGATGTAATAAGAGAAAAACAGCCTCAAGAGTATGTAATACCCATTTTATGTCGGTGCAAAAATTTCCACGATGAGCCAAAAATGACACCCGGCGGAAGGCTCACATGTTATGGAGGAGCAGACACTAAGTGTAGAGACTATAGATCATCACTTTCCCTGTGTCTCAGTGTAATTATTAATGTCATCTCCCTTCATTTTCAAGAGAAACTTATTTCCCAGCTCAAAGGGAATCCTAGAATATAGCTAGTGGGGAGAACATAGCTGAAGAGTATCTGGCCCACATTAAGTTTTCAGTAAATGGTGGCAATTTGATTAAGAACTGAGAGTTTCTGTCCAAACTAAACCAACAATGTACATGTGCCCATGTGTGCATGTATTGTGTGAAAAGTACTTTTTGATTACTTAGCAGGGTTCTCATAAATGGTTTAACACAGAAATGGAGAATCTAGGGTAGAAGTCTAGGGAGGCAGATGATTGGCATCTGGAACAATTCTCTACTGAAAGCTTGAACTCGACCACTGGTTTAGAGTGCATTGCGGAGTGCTGTTCCATTAACGCACATGTAGTGACAGCTCATCTAATTAAAACACAGAAGCAAGGAGCTTTTGGATTTGACTAAAGCTTGTCGGAAGGTAAAGGTAAAGGTAAGAATAGATGTGATTCAAGAACAATACCTGGTCTGACATTTTGCACAATTATTGTACTAAAATCCAGCAGATGAGGGCTCTTACTGTTGTCTTGGGGGTATGGGGAAGGGGGTGAGGACAAAGAAAATAAAATGAGGAGTGACAGTTAAGTAAAATCTCAAGTCATTTTCTCATACTGTTGGTCACACTTGATTAAAGAGAATTCCTAGTGAGTTAAGCCCTTCTGAAAATAACAGCTTATTGGTGTTTTTAATTAAAGTATTTTTAGTTTACATTAAAGTTATTAAAAATGACAGAAGGCCACCATGTTTATATTATATTATCAGCTAGAGAACACATTCCAGAAAATATTTATAGAGCTTTGTTAAAACATTACAAAGTATTAGATCCCATTTTTCAAAGCAAACAAAAAGAAACAGAAGAATTTCACATAGTATATGTATAATGGTTTTCAACAAAGAATACATCTATAGAATTTTTAAAGTTATATTTATTTTCAGTTTGAGGAAACAGCTTTACTTTATAACATTAGAATTTTAAGAAATAGCCTAAGAAATCCCAGCTTTTAAATATATAATATAAATATATACAGTAATAAATAAAATGTTAAATGCATTTTAATTCAGCAGTGTAAAAGACAGAATATTTCCACACCATTTTACATTTGATTTTGTTCTTATATTTTGGTATGTTTTTCATTAGAAATACATGACAAACAACACTCCTATACCATGAAGACTTTTATTGAAAAAAATATTATTGCATTGAACTACAGTCCAAGTAATTTATTGAATAACCTAAAAAAGCTGCTCTGCATGTACAATAGTGCAATTTACTTAGCCACAGTATAATTTTAGAAACCACTTTGTACAGAAAATACAAAATAAAATTATTGGTTTATGTATCATATTGCCAGAGTATCATCTAGTTTAATTACAAATTAAATACTTTCAATATGATTGAGTAAGGTGGGAATTTGCTTTAAACAGCTACACAACCAATTTACATTGCCAACTATTTTACCTCACATATTGAAGGAACTAACAATTTTGTATGGTGGATAAGAAACTTCTTGAAGTTGTTTGCTTTAATATGTGAACATGTTTTGAAGCACACTATTTAGGACAAAGATCAAGCGATATAACTAAAGACTAAAAAGAATATGTTCATTGAGAACACACACACATACACACTCACATGTACACACATTCATATTTTAATTTTTCTAATTTGCCCTATTTACTTTTATGATTCCAACAAGATGCTCTTGCTCTTGCTATTTAAGAAACATGGTGAGCTGCAAAAAAAAGGAAGTAACTGTGAGAAAGGAATTAAGAGAGAAGATTGGAGCTCTCCCTCCTATACAAAGGTGCATAGAATGAAAATGACCCTTTGGTCATCTTTCTCTAATATTGGCTTATTCCAAACCTAACCCATTCAGCCATTGCTTCCATTTTAATATAGCTTAATCCAAAGATACAACAATCACCTTCAGTGTCTATCTAAGAGAAGAAGTGGATAATATTTTTTGCTGGAATGAAATGATAACCTTTGAAAATCCTCTAGACCCAGGCTTATTCTCGAGAGAACTCATATTTTAGTGGGGAACTCAACTTATTGAAGTGGTTTCAGACTGCGACACAAAGGGCAGCCATCTGTTTTCCTGACTACTGTGGGAACTGGTCATCCACTCGATTTTTAATAATGTTTCTATTTGCCAATGAGAACACATGTCTCTTTAGAAGTTGGTCTAATTTAAAAAATGAGAATTAAACCCCTTCATGAGCTCTGCTGGGCCCGAGGTAACTACTAGGTCAATTTTGCCCTGAAGTATATTAGCTACATAATACCGATGTGTGAGATTTGGGTCCTTTGAATTGTATTTTTAGAAAACTGGATCTGATATTTACATATTTTTCTTCAGAAGTTTTTACCATCTTTCTGAAAACTCATGGGAAAGTTTTTAGGAGAGACTTGGAAACGTGCTGCTGGTTTGAGATGATTGGCAATGTTATTTCACCACTAAGAAGTCAACTATCCGCACATGCTGGGAGGGCACCTGGACATTTCATTCATATGCATTTAGAACACTGAAATACTGATGGTGTGCTAACCAGTAGAGCCATCTCTGTATCTCCGATTCTTGTTTCAAATGCTTGAAGTGTACGATGTTTTGGGATCAATTTGAAAGCATTATACAATTCAGAAAGCTGTGTGGCTGCCATCCTTTGGAACTGTGTAAGCGAGAACTTCATGCACGAAGGGAGATAGATCCAGCAATATGAGCCTGAGTAATTTTACTGATTAAATATTACATTTAATGGGAAAGTTTTATAGGATTGGTTTCTTTTAATATATTTCTATTCAGAGATAACAGAGAGATTCCATTAAGTCCTGGCAGAAACTGAAGAAAAGGAGTCACTGTCAAATCCATTTTCTGTAAGTGAAACATACATTTTAAGGAATCATTCCATGAAATGTCTACCTAAGAAAAAAAACCTGGGAATTCAGCACTTTTAAAATCATTCTCCATAATCTAATCATTTTCCATATTTTGTTATATTTATAATGTTTATAAAGGTGAACTTCAAGAGAATGTTGAAATACAGTTTTCATAGCCCCATTGTCTTTTTTCTTGCTGAATTTGGCAGGGAATTATTAGGAAGATGAACTTTCCCAAATTCTTAGTTCTTCATGCAAAGATATTTTGTTTAGCCATACCTGAAGTCATCAAGGCTATCTGATGGTGGACTGGTTCTAAATCGATAGGTAAGTATGTGTTTGTGCACGTATGTGTGTGTGTACACATGTGTGCAAAGATCTCACAGACTTTCTTAAGCCTTTATATTAGATACAAAAACTTGCCTCCATGAGGCACATGTGAAAGTATAATTCCATAAAGAGAAATACTCAAGGCATTAGGCATAAAAGAAATTTAATGCTAAAAATCAACTGTCAAATAATTATGTAAATAGAAGAAAACAATGCTGAAACCATCCAATACGGTGGTATTTTTAAAAAATGGAACTATTTTAGAATTAAATATATATTTAGAATTCTTTGTTTTATTTTTTTCCCCCCAGAGTGTGTTTCTCTTAAGGTAAAATGGAAAATAAAATACAGTGTTTGAGCCTACAGTAACTTATTTCAGGGAAGTAAGTTTTATAATTGCATCTTTCCTCATGTGATGCCATGTTTTTTATAATTTCTCACCCTGGAATACAAATTATTTTTTATTTAATAGTCAATCTGCTTTCCCATGGTCTAAATTAGTATATCAGTGAACACTTCCATCACCGTTAATACAAGACAGAGTAGTCATTTCCATGTCAGCAATTCATATAAATCTATCTTTGTTAGTCAAAATTAAGTGCTCAATAGAGGATCTCTGGTCTAACCTTCTGAGAGATTAAATTGTTCACCAAGACAATTATAAAATTAATCATATGTTTTGTCTTTTTCATAATACGGCTTATGTTGAGTTCTCATGATTATCTTGGCTCTGTGTCAGCTTTACAATCTGCCTTAGGAAATAATTATCCTTGTTACTTTTTTTTTTTTTAATCTGCAAGGCATTTATCATCTATTCTTATAATAAATATTTTATTTATTTCACTTTTAGGAGGGTTCATCCAATGTTGATCAATGATCTTTTATAATCACTTTTATGGAATTCCATGCAAGGACAGAGTTTCTTGCTTTTTATTTTTTTTCCTTCATTTTTCTATTCTTTCAAAATAAGATAGACCTTGTCACTGCTATATCCAAGTCAAAACTGTCATCCCATAAGTTTCTGGTGATGTCCTAGAAACTCCATTTTTTTTTTATGTTAAAATTTCAAATTCACTCTATCTCCTTTTATTTTTCTGTGCTCTTCTCTTTCTCTGTCTCTCTCCTTCTCTCTCTCTCACATCAAAGATATCCTTTCCCTTCATTTACCAAATATTAAGTATTTCACCTTTCATCTTCATTTTCCTCATTTGTAATAAGGAGTGATAGATAATATTGATCTCAGGACACAGTTGTGAAAATTAAATGAAATAATGTGGACCAAATACATAGCCTGATTCTACCTGAAACACATTGTACCTTTAGTAAATATAGCTATCTTCTTTGTGAAGCCAAGGCTGAAGATAATGTCTTTCTCATCTTCCAGTAGTAGTGGAGTTTGCATCCTCTTAAACACAGCAGTGGATGAATGATCAACTCCAGTTCTGTTTAGTTTTGATTTTCTACGAAACTCATGTTTGTGAGGAATGTGCTATCACATGTTTATTTATTTTTTTCATTTTAAGAATACAAAATAATAAACCTAACTGGTTTATTCACAAATTCAGGGCCATTCACAAATATAGTTGCAAGTAAAGCAAATTCTTTGGGCTAGAAAACATTTTGAATAGATATTTGAAATCATTTGCAAAATTACATGGATCGTGATTTTATTCATCACTATTCATTGTTTTGTAAATATCTAGTACAATTGAGTAAAACACACCAGATATTTTATAAGATTTTCTTAATAAACATGTAAAAAGATGGACATTTCCAAGCCTTTTACTTCTATGCTTAAACATGTATTAGCTGAACACAGTAAGATTTCTGAGTAGAAGGATAATGAGCACTTAACATTTTAGTCCTATAATATTTGAAAGGTTGATCAATATGTTTACAGTGTTATTCTGAGTATATTTTATTTTCTTTTTTGCATTGTTAAATGTCAATGATAGTTTGTATATGTTTTCTTATACAAAAATTAAATATTCTTAATTTTAGATGTTGCTGATTTTTACACTTACAAAAATATCTTGACAGAGATTTGTGTGAAATGAAGTTAACTCATTTTTCACAGAAACTCAACAATAGAATCTATGAATATTGTTTTTCATTGGTGTAGTTTTCAACTTGAATTAATCAGAAAATTTCTTGCTATCTCTTATTTCCTATTAAAATACAGTAACAGAATACATTGATTGAAAGCTTAGTCAGTAGTTAAACATGGAAATTAGTTTTAGAAACTGGTTCATTCACTGACCTTTTATTATTTATCTGGCAAATAAAACCAAATGCACATTCATTCTTTGACTCAACAAACACCTAGAACATACAGTATTATATTCCATTTGATTTTTCTTTACAATATTAATGGTCTCTTTAAATGTTTTCTGTTATTATTTTATAACATTATGTGAGAAACTAACCAAAACAGGTCTTTAACACTTTTCCCTCTACCCTTCCATAAACGTATTTAACATTTGCCCTGTTAATTTTGCAAGCTAAAAGAAATTCTTAAAATGCTCTTGTTTCAATATTGCTCAATTCAGTTCATATTTATAGATTGGTCACATTTTGAATTGGCAGCAATATTCTAAATCTTATAATACTTGGATAGACCACTTTAGATGTATCATTTGCTAGGTAGTGACAATTTGTTTTATTTCTCCTCAAGAGGAGCTCTGACACCTGTTAGTTCAAGTGCGCTGACACATTTAAGGCCTCTTTCACTCCATTGAACTGTTGCATCTGGCTGGAGCAAGAATGATGGCAAAGCTCTTGACCTTGGAACACTGGTTGGATTAAAGGATTCAAGTGGATAATCGAAGTTGTGGCTGGATTTAAGTGAGGGCCGAACAATGTGGGGATAAATGCTGTTGGAGGCAGGGGCTGAAGTGTTATGTGGGATGAGTGGAAGGGAGCAGCAACTAAATGCAGGGGATGCCCTGCTAAGAAAGTTGGGTGTGCAGGGATAATGGTTGGAGCCAGAGTTGAAAATGAGATCGGAGTGAAATGTGGCTGTGAAAGGGGATGTAGGTGAGCAATAGGGAGGTGACGGCTATGAGAACTTATGGAAGCAGAAACAGCAAAATGCTGCAGGAACGTGTGGTGGATGGCCGTGATAGATGCGTGCTGGTGAACTGGAACCGTCTGTACAGCCGAGGCCGGGGAGAAGGCAGTCAGCCCTGCAGCAGGCAAAACTCGAAGATGCTTTGATAGGAGCTGTTTCTGCATATGCTGCTGGGCTTGTAGCTGCAGGAGCTTATATTTATCTATTTCATCAGGAGAGAATGTTATGGGCTGTTGAATTAAAGGGGGAGAGATAGATTTATGACATGTTTCTAGTTCATCTTCCACTTTGTCAGACATCTGCATAGTTCTGTCATAGTAAGAGTTTATATTTCCTTCTACGTGATTCATATGCATGCTTACATCCTGCAAGTCGAGATTTATTTGGTCCTCTTTGGTCTCTGTTGAATCAGTAACACCAGTATATCTAATAGATGGAAAAGCACCAGGGAAATCATTTGGTACTGGGTCACAGCTTTGAATAAAAGGTTGGGCTTCACTAATTAAAGGTTTTGATTGTTCTTTTGTTGTTGGGTTCCTTTTTATGTTTAGTGACTGAGACTCTGTTACTATGTGAATTATACCTTTAGAAAGATGGTTATCACAGTCAGTGTCTGCTAAAACGGTAATATTATTTGTCTGTGAACTTTTGATTTTGTCTTTCTCAGTAGTCCTTGGCATGGCACTGCCTTTATCATTTCTCCTTTTAGTTGTGTGCTGTATTTTTTCAGACAAAGGCAATGCCGGTCTATTACAGCCCGGTGATACAGGTTGAACTGTGCATTGGCTTTGTGAATGAGCCTCTAATTCATCTTTACAGCTGTTTGAAGAGACCTCAAAATTAGTTGATTGTTCCCGACACTTCTTGGCTTGTACTCTTTCTAAAAGGCTTTTGGCTGTCTGGGGGGTCTTCTCCCCTTCTGTAATGTTCAACTGAGTGGTTTCTGAAGGGCCACTGGAACAGTTCCTTGGGAGGCAGCTGATATTCTCAGAGTTACACTGTATGGGCGTGACTGTTCCCAGATCACAAATGTGACGGCTGTCCAAACACTCTTGATTTTTCTTGATTTTATTTAAGTAATACATTCCCTCTCTTGAGTAAGAGCCTAATCTGCTGTGCGAAGGTCCATGGCAATTAGGTGATTTTTCGCTGCCACTGGCATAGGAAACCTGTGAACTAGAACCAGAATCACAATGGATGATTCTAGTAGATTTTGTCCCTGAAAATTGTTGTTCATTTTTGCCCAGTTTATGTCTCTCTCTGCAGGGACAATATCTATGTTTGGCGTATTTCTCATTTTTCAATGATTTCCACAATTTGCAGTTCCTATCTCTCTGTGTTTCAGGCCGAAGTCGGTTGCTCTTTGTTATCTCGTCAGACATGTGGAGGCAGTTGTGCTTTCTGTGTTTCCATTTGTGCCTTTCAGTGGAGTTGTGTTCTCTTTTACAAAAGCAGAGCAGATTACCTCTGCCGTTATCACCGAACCTATGACGCAAACAAGTACTTCTCAAGCTGGACCTGCTGCTAGGGGATGCGTCCGAAGGGCTAGACTGTCCGTTCAGAGATGATTTTAGAGAGCATCTCTTGTGACTTTGGTTTCCATATCCAGAAACATGGCTGGCCATGCCAATGTGGTTACTATTCAAAATTACACTGAAGTCCTTCCCATGGTCACTGTGGTCCCCTCCTGTATAAGGACTAGAATGACAGTTGACTTGGGTTTCACCTTCAAACTCTGAATGAGGATCATGGGGGATCAGTTTATGCTTTTTAGTCCTAGAGATGTAGGGAGGAAAAGACAAGCCCTCATTTGCTTCATTTAGAACTACCCTCTGGCAGCTTTGCCAATGGGCCCCCCAAGGTTCCTCACGCTCATTATCGCTATTGTTATTTTTTCCTACACAATCCTTTAGAGACTTATCAAGGTAAGCAGGCACTTCAGGAGTTTTCACTTTCAAATCCTTTTCACTAAAATTATGTTCACTCTTATTTGGCTCAGAATCATGGTAGCCCAAATTATATTCTCTCTGGAAATTTTCCCAATCTGGATTAGCTATCACCATCTTTGGCTTCAGAGACTGATTATCTTCTTGGATCAGTTTGTGTTGGTCTTTTATTAAACCTGAGACTTGGCTCTCTATTTTATTCTTCATTTCCAAGGGTTCCTCACCCAATTCTGTTTTTAATTCCTGGGGATTAGGGCCATACTGTGAGTTCCGAGAAAGCTTAAAATCAAAATATAATGGGTTGCAGCCGTAAGAGATACAAGGCTCTGTTTTTGTAAAGAGCAGAAGTTCCGTGGGCCATTGAAGAGTAGTGTGGCCATCCTTGCTTTGTACGTGGAGAAAAGGCAATGGTTTGGATGTCACTTCTCTTACAAGTCTTTGCACATTTTTGCTAACTCTTTCTGTTTTATCTAAAGATCTTTCTCTGTCCTCCACTCTGGAATTTGGATTCAGGTACATTGTACTCTTTTGATCACTTGGCTCTGGCGATGAAAACTCATCCAGGCATTCATATATTCTGGCATCACTGTGTTTGTAAATGGTTGGTGGGCTGAATGAAGCATTTTCTTGGCTTGGGTGATCAATGTGATTTTCTGAAGTGTTCTTCAACATGTTTCTAGTTTCTTTTTCTCTGCTGGAAGGTGTAAAATCCACATCTGAAAGATGAATGTTAGATTTAGATAATGAGGCATGAATGCCAATTGAATCTTCTAGTGTTCCATCTATAGAGTCATTTTTGTCTTGCAAAATTTTAGAGCTTATGGAGAAGGTATTATGTAGAACCCTTTCCAGATGGCTTCCTGAGATGTTTACATCTTTTTCCTTAGTAAGGTGTGTATCCTCATTTGCAAACCTGCAGCACTTGCATTTCTCTGCAGTTTTTTTTGTCTTATAAAGGGATGATTTGTTGCAATCATGGGTTTCTTCTGTGTTCTCACTGAAAACTGATGCTGAAGATTCTAATTTTAGATGCACTTTTTTGGAAAAAGAAAATGATACTCCTGTCCTGTGATTTGCATTGCCAAGATCTGAAGATGTTTGTGCTATCCGATTTCCAAATAAATAACGTCTGTCTGTTTGCAACTGGTGTCGATTTGGCATGGTGGACCTCAGTTTATCAGAAATGCTTCTGGGCAGATTCTTGCCTTTAAGGAGAAGAGTGCTCTTCATGCAAGATACCTTTCTGCCATTCTTAACTGGGAACATTTCTTGCTGGAGTTGCTTTTCTGTGGTTACTCTGGGGGCTTTGTATGCTGGTCCATTTCCAGAAACACTGTAAATACAATAAATATTTACATGATTAACATGTTAGATTTGGAATTGTATCTGTATGTGAAGATTTCATAGTGTTTCTATGATTCATTCTACAATTTATGAACTACATCTTCTGTATTATAACCATTTTGTACTTGCTTATACAACTCAGTTTAACTTTTATAGTGGCTACTTCTAAAATGCATTGTTTATGGGTAGCATTTTGAAATTATTAAAAAGCAATAGCAAGTGAATATCTTATCCTACTACTGCAAAAGAAAACAAGTATTGCATTTACATCACAATATATGTCATCCAGATGCTATCAGTTCTTTGAAATAGAGATTTAACATTATTTTACTAACAGTATTCCAATCAGTACATACACTTTAAAAAGGAATTAAATAGAATTAAAAGTCACTTCCAAAATATTAATTTTTTAAAATTTGCTTTTATGTATAGGTTTTAACATTTTATAGTTTTGAGGTTTTTCAGTTTAAAATTCCTACATGTTTGTTTCCTTTTGAAACAGAGTAGTTACTTCTTTCTTTATTACTTGTCACTAATTTGACTAATTACACTAAATGTATAAAAAAGTACACACATTTACAAGCCATCTCAATATCTTCAATGATGTTAAAAATCTTTTCTTTTGTTCCTTACTAACCAAAAGATTTTACTACCATTTGTGCATGTATATGTTTTGTCTTTTAAAGCCTTTTATAAGATTATGCATTCTACTGAGCTTCATTAGTAACACAAACAGAAAACTGAAAATGCCAATACATATAAGAGATGAAACTCCTAGATTGCAATTATATGGGCCTTTATTGTTCTAGCTATAAAGCCTTACTACAAAACAAGGCTTCCCTGGGAAGAAGGCAGTATAAATCACATCGTTTACCTGATTGTTTGCTTTTACTCTTGCTTGTCCCACATCCTTGATGTGTTGCTTTTTTCTATTTTGGATTTTTATTTCACTTTTATTGATTGATTTGTTGCTTTACTATAAAATGCTAAAGCAACTAATATCTTCTCCACATATAGGTCAAATTCTAATGGAGAGGAGGGCCCTCTGAGTCCTTGTTTGAAAAATTCTTTCTTGGCTGCATTTAAGATTATTTGGCCAATCAGCATAGAACTCTAGAGTCACATTCCTTTGTCCACCAAATTTCCTATACTTCGCTTCCTTGTCTTTACATGTATACTATTGCAGACATGTTTAATTAGCCTCCTTTTTTTCATTTTTTGAAATGTATCTGCTTGTGAGTTTGTATGGTTTTGTAATTTTTCCTTTTTATTTATATGACATATTTATAATATTTGTTATATAAATAGTATTATATTTATTCTATATTTCATATAACTATAACCTATTACCAGAACATAGCTACAGGTTGGTTTATTTGGGTTAATTTTTACTAGTATTTCTTGGGCTCTTTCAATTTAAATTTCATCAGCTCAGCTATATGTTCATCTCTGATTTCTCTGATTATTGCTTCATCCCTATCCTAGTTTCTTATTTTAGAGTTTATGTGCTAAAATTATTGGCTCTCTTGAATTTTCCTTTAGGTCTTATAATACTTATCTCAGTACTTTCCTCTCTTTAGTCTTTTGCTGTAGTTTAGGGATATTTTCTTATATTTAAAAATATTTAATTTTAGTGACTCCATTTTTTACAATATTCAATCTGTTGTTTACAATTCATGTCCATATGGATTGTAATTTACAAACAATAACTTTAGCCACCATTTAGTTTTTAATGATTTCAGATTATCTCCTCTTCATGAATTAATGGCTGTAGCTTTAAAGTTACATTGTTCCTTGAATATTGTAGAAAATTAAATTTAGAAAAATTTTAAGACTGTATTCTTTTCCTTACAGTAGCTTTTTCATAATGAAAACTTTCCTATTCATCACATTAATCTCCCTTTTTTGAGCCATCTTTTCATGTTCTTTGAGAGGAGGCTTTAGGCATATTTAATATGAGAAATGGGGAGGAACACTCTAAGATAGTGTGTGGGTTACTGAATATTCCTTTCAAGCACAAAGAAAAATAAGGAGCACAGAAGCTTACTACAATGTTATTGATCTTTTAAAGTATCTGCAGCCTGAGGATAGAAGGATGTGGTCTAGAAACAGCTGCAGCAATGAACTTTGCCTTGGTGCCAAAGAGATTCTCTTTCATATTTGTAGCCACACTTGGGATTAAGTAGGAAATATACTTCTGAATTAAGTTACCTTCTCCAGGAATGTCAATCAATCTAATATTATCACTTGTGTTAAACTCAGCAGAAATTACTCCAACAGTCTGGGATATGGATTATTTTTCCCTTCCAGATTCTATTATCATGCAGATATTTTAGTGTTTCTTTATTATATTACATTTTTGTATATACACTTTTCTTAATAGTATTTTTGCTTATTTTCCTGGCACTGTTTTGTACATTTTCTTGCTTTGATTTGTGTTAATCTAAATGTTCTTTTCTGTATTACTATTTTATTTTACCATTTGTCTCTCTAATGTGAAAGCTTCTTCCTTTCTTCCTTTTATATTCTTTTAAATATTTCTAAACCTCTTTGCTCTGATTGCTTTTGTATTATATTTTTGTCTTAGCTCCTTGTCCTTAATTCTTGTTCTCATTTTATAAACCAATCTGCATTTAAGGTCATAGATGTTTTTATAAGTTTTAATATTTTATCCTTATTATTAGTCTTTAATATCTTTCGTTTTCATGGTTTAATTTTTTTTATCTTGTTGCTTTATTAACCTTTATTCCCTTTTTCTTAAACCTAGTTTATTTTAATGTTTTGAAAAATCCTAATTTTCTCTCTGTGGTGTCTTAAATTCTATTATTTTAATGCAAGTTTATGTCTTATAACATTATTAAAGCTTTAATTTTTTCTAGCTTTATTGAGGTATAATTAAAAATAAAAAGTGTATATATTTAAGGTATACAATGTGATAATTTCACATATGTATACATTGTGAAATGATGACCACAATAGGTTAATTGGCACATCCATCATACACATAGTTACCATTTTTGTGTGTGGGGAATCAGGACATTTAAGATTCACTCTCCTAGCAAATTTCATGTAAACAATACAGTATTATTAACCATAGTCATTACACTGTACATTAGAGTATCAGAACTTATTTTTCTTATATCTGAGAGTTTATATACTTTGACCAATATCTTCCCATTTCCCCCACTCATCAGGCCTGGTATCATATCCACCATTCCACTCTCTGTAAAGCTTTAATTGTTATAGTTATCTCCACATTTATTATTTCACTTCCTTCTTTAAATCTTCCCTTAGTTCCTTTCTGTATTTTTTTTTACCTAATTATTTTTATTTATAATGGCTAGTAAGAAAGTGACTATAAAGTTAGCCCTTTTATTCTTATTAATAAATTGTCCATTTAAATAGCTCTCTAAATTTTTAATACTCTGCAACTTAAGAAATGTATAGTTTAATTCTCTCTTGTGCAAAAAGTATACTTTTCAAACAGGAAATAAAACATGTCAAAACAATGATTTCTTTAAATGGTGTCATTTCTTAATGTCTCACATTATCTATAAGAAACATCATAGTCTCAGAATGAATGGTCCCAAATTTCTAAATTTTGGAAAATTCTCCACAAGATGTACTACACCTTATACTTACACATATGATCACTTCACATACAGAGAGTGAATATCCTCTCATACAATGACTGGTCTTGCTGAGGGACCACTTGGCATTGGTGGAACTACCCAAGAGATGGTCAAAGTTGACTGTTCTTTATAAGATCCACTACCAGTTTTCTGCCATCATTTTTCAACATTTAATTCAAATATTCTCACTACCAACAAATTCCCCACTCTTCTCCACATTGTCATAAAAGAATCCTGTCTTCTGGGTCATCCTACTCAGAAGCTCTTGTTATGGAACAAAAGAGACAGAGAAAAGTTGTCCAGGACAGGGGGAATGTCTATGATTTTTTTTTCTTTCCTTTCATTTTTAACTTGCATTTGTCAATGCAGCTGCCAAAATAAAAATATTTAATAATTTTCTTAAGTGACTTCCCTTCAGTCATGAAGCTGTTTAAACAGGGAGAGCAATTGGCTGGAGAGCAGGTGGTGAGTAGTGGAAAAGAATGAAATAATTTTGTTAGTTTCAGTTTCTATATCTAGATAGCTGAACACTTGTCTTTTTCCCTAACAATATAGACATTGCAGCCTAGAGAGCTTACCTACTTTATAGAGGACACCAACCCAGCTGTGGTTAGGTTTGTGTTTGTTTAGTAAGTAAGGTTTCCAGAGGGAGAGCTGAAACTTAATAGAGTATATCTTTTAATTTTGAAGGCACTTAATGGGTAGCTCAGGCAAACTTAGACATTCTATACAAAAGCATCATCTTCATCTTCATCATCATCATCACTATCACCACCATCCTCCTCAAAGAGCTCTAATCTTTTGTTATTTCTCTCAGAGAAAAATATAGAATGAGTGAGTAGAAATGTAGAAGTGTGACAACTTTCATAAAAACAAAACAGCCAGCCTGGGTATGGTGGCTCAACACCTGTAATCCTAGCACTCTGGGAGCCCGAGGCAGGAGGATTGCTTGAGGTGAGGAGTTCGAGACCAGCCTGAGCAAAAAGTGAGACCCTATCTCTACTAAAAAAAACAGAAAAAAATTAGCTTGGAAACCAAAAATAGAAAAAATTAGCTGGGCATGATAGTGTGCACCTGTAGTCCAAGCTACTCTGGAGGCTGAGGCAGGAGGATTGCTTGAGCTCAAGAGTTTGAGGTTGCTGTGAGCTAGGCTGATGCCACAGCATGCTAGCCCAGGCAACAGAGGGAGAGTCTGTCTCAATAAATACATAAATGAACAAACCAAAATTATGTTTGGTAAGACTACTCAGATTTTTTGTTGTAGCCTTAAATGACCTCTCTGAAGGATGTGTCTCTATGGTGGAGCTGGCCCCATTTATTATGATCTGTCTCATTGTATCTCATCATTAATCACTCTAGAATTGACATCTTCTCCAGATTTTTTTCCTGCATGCTACCGTAACAATCATAGGACATTTCCTTCTAAGTCCTGTTCGACAAGGACTGACTGAGTTCTTATCGACAATGTGTTCAAATAACTTGTTATTCAAACATATGTACCAAATGTGTTTGCAGTTTTTGTGATTGTATGGAACCTCAGAGCCTGCATTTTTGTATTATTGATAACTTTACCTATGGATATATGTTGTACCTTTATTCTTTCTTTATATTAAATTTCTCATTTATTTTAACATAATTATCTTTTATACATTTTCATAAGTTAATTATTCTAAGGGTTACAAAGACATAAATATATGCAAGCTTAATAATAACTGTATTTTTACTCATAATCCTAAAAAAATAAATATTTCCTTAGAATCACATTTGAAGTCTAATATTTTGTGGTGATATAATTGAGCCACTCACTCCTATTTATTGTATATTGTTTTCCGTTTAAACAACAGGGGTTTTAATTCTGGCACAGAGCAACAAATTTCACAATTCATCAGGTTGCTGTCAAGTACACTAATTAGCTACATTAGTGTTCTACATTATGATTCATATGAACACAAATCACAATCTGCAAATTTAATTGCATTCCAGGTAACAACTTTGAAACATTCAGTGGTTCCATGCTTTTGTAAAACTGCTATTTTTCAGCTACAAGAATACGTTAGTATAATACTTGTTATATTATAATTATCAAATTAAATGGCACTATGTGGTAAATTTAACTGCATTAATTACATCTTGTTTGTCAACCAGACAATGATAATGCCTTTATTCTAGATTAAGGTGTTTACAGGGAATGTAAAGAAGATTTATTTCCCCCTAATAGATATATTGCTATTTATGTTTGATAAAATTATTATTAAAAAACTCAAAAAAATTATTAAGAAACTATATTATTCTATTTAAGTCAACTGGGTAGAATAAACAGTAGTATATTAGAGTCATTCTTGAATCATCTCATTATAGAATACATTAACAGTATTGGGAAGGAAAAAATCCAGTGCCAAACATAATTAGTTTATGAATCTTTAATTATGAGGAATATTTACCTTCCAACATATCTGTTGGTTAATTATTATTTATATGGTTATAGTGAACCAAGTAGATTTACCTTGAAATTTCCCCATAGGTTGAAGAGTTCTGAACCATCCCAGACACCTCTAATTCTTACCATTCAGACTGCTGCCTTAACTCAGCCAGCTGATGAAGTCGCTTAAGTGCTTTTTCTTGTTTCTTCTCATCTTTCCATGACTTGGAAGCTACATTTCGAGCAAACTCCCGTTGCTTTAATTCTTTCAATCTCTGTGGAAAAACAAGAAAAACAGAGAGGGTACTATAAATAAGTTATGTATCCTTTTTCATCCACAGGCCTCTTCATTTAACTTTATCCTGAGTGTAGAGGTGACTTTCTGGATAGGGAAAATAAAAGTATATTTCATAAATAAATGTAGTTATCAACTAGGTTATTTTTCCAAGCTTGTCAGTGACTGCAGAGTCACTGCAGAAATGTGCTGCAAAGCTGGGCCCCAGTCCTTGCTGGGATCACCCTGCCTATGTAACTGCCATCATCTGTGTGCCTGTGAAACAGCAAATGGGAAGAGTGCACAATATATGAATGCATATGAAGGGAGAGGTTTTGGGTTGCACCTTCTCCCCCGACACCTGCCCCTGCTCCTCACCTGTAAAATCGATGCTTTTATACACATTGAATGGAATCAGCTTGTTTCAGTAAAGAGCATCTTTTACTGTGAAAGATTTAGTTCCAAGCTCTAAATGGGATTCTTAATTCATTTGTTTTGGGTGAAGATATTCATCAAATGCAGATTTCTATCTTGTATCCAGGAAGACAAAAATGGGTCAGGGATTTAAACTCATGATAGAGGTTTGGCCTTGTTTGGTTTAAGTTAAGCTACTACTTCTTTTAATTAATCTTTTCTCTAAAACAATTGACTTAGATGCAAATTGGATGCTGCTTATTAGCTGTTTGCATTTCTATTTTAGATTCTGCCACTGAAAACACCTAATGATATTGAACAAATTGAGAAACAGCCACAATCAAACGAACAACTCGAAGTTTGGGACTTAATCCTGAATTGGGAGTGTATTTGCAGATTAGCTTCTCTTAGCTTATACAAAGTGATTTTAAGCAGTCTAAAATCTGTATCTGTTTGATTTATTTTCATTTACCAAATCAAATGGAAAAGATGTTTCCCAGGTATGGGGAAACAACACAAGTATCCAGTGAGGTAGTATTACTGTAGCGGACTATTTCCCACCCATAGAACGAGGGGCAAACTTTTAATCATTAGCTTCATTCTTGAAAAGGAACATGCTCATGGGAGATGATGGGCAGACAACTGCATCTAAGCAAAGTATCTAAAGGCGGAGGCAGACCAGCTTTTCAAAGAGAGAATATTCTGAGCACAAAGAACAAGAATGTCACAGAACTAGAAACAGCTGCAGGGAGAACAGTGGAGGCAACCAGAATTTAATTTTTGACAAAAACTTCAGATCCTTCTAAAAAATAGAAAATTTCAAGAAATAAAATTATACTCTATGTGTGATCAGGGAAAAAACCCTCAATAGTACCCTAGAGCTTATAAACAGCAGAGGGTCTGAGCATTAAAGGGTAGATAGCCTTGTTCAGAAGATAGGAAGAAACGCTTTTAAAATCCCCATTTCTCTATACCCTCCTACTCACACTTCCTCAGACCCCATATGCTTGATAACCTAGTTCTTAGAATGAGGGCTTGTTTTACAAGCAAAGACCTTTTGGAAATTATCCTACGCAATTTAAGAGCACACATAAAGTGCAGTTCAACTAAGTCAAAGAGAAAAGAATGGCTATTTTGGAAAAGAGGAGAGGGCTTTTCTATTTTTCTCTTGGTACTTAACACGAACTACTATATATTATATTCATTTAATATTTGGTATCACTAGCACGTAAAATTTATATAACCTAAGTGAGGAAATTGATTCATTTACTCAAAACAACTAATACTTTACTCATTTTTGTCATCTTGTTCGAAAATTTAGGGTACACCTGTTTCTTTTATTGGCCTCCAAGATTCTAAGGCTGTGCTTTTATTTCTGAGTCATAGAAATGATTGAGAATTCTGTCTCATTCACCCAACAACAAATACTGCTAATTCTTACTATGTTAATCCCTACTATTTCTACCATGGGATATGGCAATGTACAAATCAATTATTTTCCCTTCAAGAGAAATAGAAAGTAAACAGATCTTTCTACAAAATAGTGCTAAGTTTCTTTTTTTTTTTTTTTTTTTTTTTTTTTTGAGACAGAGTCTCACTTTGTTGCCCAGGCTAGAGTGAGTGCCGTGGCGTCAGCCTAGCTCACAGCAACCTCAAACTCCTGGGCTCAAGCGATCCTCCTGCCTCAGCCTCCCGAGTAGCTGGGACTACAGGCATGCGCCACCATGCCCGCTAATTTTTTTATATATATACAGTTGGCCAATTAATTTCTTTCTATTTATAGTAGAGACGGGTCTCACTCTTGCTCAGGCTGGTTTTGAACTCCTGACCTTGAGCAATCCGCCCGCCTCGGCCTCCCAAGAGCTAGGATTACAGGCGTGAGCCACAGCGCCCGGCCTTAAGTTTCTTAATAAGGGTGTATACAACTTGTTTTGGAAACAGAGAGGAATAGTTAAGAGATTTATTGTGTTGAGGGAATCAACAAAGTCAAAATGTTTTAAGGGATACACAAAACAGGAAGAAGAAATTTTGTTTAGAGACATCTTGTCACAGATTCAACTTAGCCAGGGTCAAGTGCTCATGTCTATGTAAGAAAAAAATTCCAGAGATCTGCCTCAAGTTTTCAGTGTACTAATCAGTGCATCTGTGTGAAGAGACTACTTCAGGCCAGGAAAAGAGTCACCTGAAATAACTTTAAAAAATCAAAAAATCGTAAAACGGAGACTAACATTCATATAAGACCAGGAGTAGTGTCTGTTCTCACCCAAGAAAACTGGAAAAACTCGTAGGACATTGAGTAGAGAATTCAGGAAAGTCTTGCTTCAGTACAGAATAATTGGCCATAGATTGAACACTACTTAGAACTTTCCTAACAGCTCATAAAAGCAAGAAATGAAAGTATAAAACTAAATCCAAGTAATTTAGCTGAAGAACAGAACCAAACACTAGGACATGGATAGCAATAAAAAAAATAGCCATCAAAAATAAGGAAAAATCACTGATATATAGTAGTCAATCAAAGAATATCAAGCAAGCAAAGAAACAGGAAAACACAGCTAAAAATAAGGAAAATAACCATCAAAACCAATGCGGAACTAACACAGATGCTAGAATTAGCAGAGAAGAGCACTAGGACAGTTATAACTATATTCTACATGTTCAAAAAGTAGAGAAGAGACAATGATCATTAAACAATGTGCACTTGAAGTCTCTGAAGGAGAGGATATTTGAAAAAAAATGATAGAAAAATTTTCATTTTTATAGTTTTCTGAAAACTATAAACCCACAGATCCACCCACCAATAAACCTCAAGCACAGAAATATGGAGGAAATTACACCAATGCTCATTATAATCAATTCTTTCAAAACCATTAAAAAAGTCAAATTGTTACAGCATCCAGAGAAAAAAGATACATTTATGAACAGAAGAAAAAAATAGCAGAATGGCAGAAGAATTCTCATTGGAAACAATGCAAGTAAGAATACAGTGAAGCAACATCTTTAAATTTCTAAAAAAAGAAAAAAACCTGTCAAAATAAAATTTTATACCAAGTGAAATAGCTTCTAAAAAAGAAGGTGAAATATAGATGTTTTCAGACATGCAAAAGCTGCTAGAATCACTAGCAGACACACATGATAAGAAATCTTAAAGGATATCAGCAGGCAAAAGGAAAATAAGATCAGATAGAAATGTGTGTCTACATAAAAGAATGAACAGAAGAAATGGTAACTACAAGGATAAATACATAAGGTATGTTTCATCCTATCTTAATGTATTCAGATTGTTTAAACAAAAACATTAACTATGTCTTTTGAGGTTTATGTCAAACTTATAAAGCAAATATACAACAACAATAGCAAAGCTTAGGAAAAGAGAAATGACAGTATATTATTGAAAGATTCTTGTACTATACTTGAAGTAGTGTAAAAACAATTGAAAGTAGACTGTCATTAGTTAAAGAAGTGCACTATAGACCCTACAGCAGCCATTAAAATGATAAAACAAAGTGTTTTAGGCAACAGGACAACAAAGGAGATAAAGATAATGATTAAATGTACTCAATCCAAAAGAAGGCAGGAAAAGAAAGGTAAAACAGATGGAACAATTATAAAATAAATAGCAAGATAATATTTCTGACTCAAGGGGGATGGGGAGCATGGGCAATATATGTAACCTTAACATTTGTACCCCTATAATATGCTGAAATAAAAAATAAAAATAATAATAAAAAAACACTAAATTGTCCAGAGTAAATGTTTTAAATTATTAAAAAAGTCAAGATAATAACACAAATCTAAATGTACCAATAAAAATTAAATATTAATAGTCTAAACACCAGAATTAAAAGGTAGGGGGAATGTCAGTTTGTATAAAAGTGTAAGATTCAACTATAGGTTGACTACAAAAACAAACTTTAAAAATAAAGACACAATGAGTTAGAAGAAAAGAATGTAAAAAGATACACCATGCCAACACTAGTGTCAAAAAAAAAGCTAGAGAGATTATATCACTATGAGACAGAGTAGATTTGAGAGCAAAGATATATCATGAGGAATAAGGAAGTTTACTTCATAATAATAGTAGGGCAAATTAATCAAGATAACATAATAATGGTATATGTTTATGTGTATAGTAACAGAGCTTCAAAATACACAAAGCAAAAATGGATAAAACTACAAAGAGAAAAAGAAAAATCAACAATTATAATGGGAGTTTCCAATGTCCCTCTACTAAACAGCAAAAAATTACTAATTGCAAATACCGTACTCTGGAGAAGGTTACCGCACAGTGATTATATATATGTATGTTAATATTATAAAAGATTCTTCCAAGAATTGGTTTTTCTAATGAAGAGAGAATTGTTTGTTATTAGACAGATAGAGAGGACTTCCAAGAATCTGGAGGTCAAGTTTTGCCAGCCTCCTGGGTTTTGGGTTTGCCCAAGTTTGTACTTCCCTTGTTCTGATAATAACTCATTTATTTAAGCAATGGTACATACCATAATTGTCAGTAGCCTTCCTCAGTTGAAAGAAAAAAATAAACCACTTGGGAAAAAAATGTTTTTTGAGGTCATGTAGTGAATAAGC